CTCGCCAGTCACGTTAGCCGTTGTGTTGGTACAGCTGGAGATACCACTGTCAACAGAATTCAACATGTCCCTTTTCACAGGGCAAAATAAAGGACAGTCATGTAACACTTTGTCCATGTTGTTATAAAATAGTGTTCGCACGCTGTCACCTGAACAACCACCCTGTCCTGCATTGATTATGTATATTCCTGTAACCTGCTTGTCAGGGATGCATCAGTGTTTACATTACAAAAGATATGCGGTAAAATGTGTCCCAGATCACTTGGCAAGGGATACGAGTGACCGGATCATAATGTGTCTTGATTGTGTTTTATACCTGTACTTAGGGCTGTCCAGTTGTGATTGGTTGAACCAAGATGCATGTTAATATCAGGTATAAATAGGTTCTAAGTCACTGTTGTGAATCCAAGCTGACTACAGCTGCTGTCCTCTGTCCTACTAACTTTTCAGAGCCACCTTAGTCGCATGGAGCCAGACCTGTTTTCACTCTCTGCTTTAGCTCTGTGTCAGTGCTGGACAAAGCTGTGGCTGAAGCCACCATATTCCGCACTAAGGAAAGAAAATGCTCTGGGTTGTTTGTGTTTCTTTAGACCAGTAATAATAGTCTTGTGCAGCACTAAGCCCAGGATGCAGCGATGGTGCCCTTCCAAAATAGTGTTGGGTGATAGCTGAAGAGGAGGAGAATTCAGTCTGAAATAGGCAACTAATGGCAGGCTTATACGCACAGTCTACATCCTGTAAGCCTAACTAGAGCCACCTTTTAAAACAGGCGTCACACACAAAACTGATGTTCTGTGGGCAGTTATGGACATATGAAAAACAATATCTGCTATAACTAATTTACATGTCAAAAAAAAGTCTGATTCACATGAAGAAATCAGTCCATACTAAATATGTAAACATATGGATGGTGGTCTCTGGGCTGGATTTCAATACTGGTCATGCCTATAGTAAGGCCAGCGTTAAGGCCTTTGCACTCCTAGTCAATATTTTTCGTATGCGCTTTTTTTAATCCCATCATGTGATAAAAATGGTCACACACAGAACCCTTGCACACTTGTCCAATGCATTTTATTGTTCTATTTGTTGCAAAAATATGTGACCTCTTACTTCTTGAATATTGAAAAAGAAAATATCGCGTCCATCCAATCCTGAGAGGACATCCAGAGCAAGGAGAGTTTTACGTACTGGTAAAGGAGCTGCTGAATTATCTCAGTCATTTTCTGGTGGCTTTTTCAGGATGTTAGCAGTCCAGTTTGATAGCTACTTGTAATTCTGAAATCATACATTGAAGAGAAGGCCACAGTTTCTGTGATCCAGTTGATCCTGAACTGCAGCTGACAGTGTGTCAGAGACACACACAAAGATGGATGTGAAAAAAGGCAGAAAATGAAACTTGTTGTGAAAACTTAAATGACAGATAAAAGTTTTTGAATCAGTATGTGAACGTGATTGACAGAATATGAGATTGTATTGTGTGACAATTTCAGACGACAAATGCGGACTTGATGTGAAAAGTATTTACTTTTAAACATTAAAAATGGATGAACTTTAGGCCTAGAAAGTTTGTCATCTTAGTGTTAGGCTGGCTCTCAGCTAAGAGCTGTGTTTCCATGGCAACAGTCACTGACCTCATCCACAGACTGCAATAAACCTGGAGATATATATCCTCCAGTTTAAAAAGACCTAGTAACTGATCTTTTACAAGCATATATGTGAGTTTAGCAGCTTGAAGCTGAAGCCTGGTTAGGTATGTATTTTAAATTGATAGCTACCCAGAATGCAGAGCAACTTGGTCATATTTAAAGGTACACTCCCCTATTTTGGTAAAGTGCTGCCACAGTGCCCTACTGTAACCCCATTACCAAAAATTTAAATGAGTTGAGTTTGAAACATAAACTAAACATAATGGAAGTATCTTATCCAGCCATTATCTCTTCTCTATTCTTTTTATTCTGATTTTTCTGACAGCGTGTATGTCAGTTTTGTTTTCCAGTTTCAAGTTGTAAAAAAGTAAAGTAACGTTTTCTATTTTTTCTTTTGTCCCACAGCCAAAACTGCACCATTAGGTGTGCCTGCCTTACAAGCCACTATGAGGGAGCCAGCTCTGCTCAGTCCAAGACTGAGGCAACAGGACTCAAGTGTGCGTGTCTGTGCGCGTGTGTGTGTGTGTAGTATGAATCTGTTGGTGTGTGAATCACAGCTGGGTGTATGTGTGTGAATGTCTGAGGGAGAACTGTGTGGGGGTGGGGGGGTGGGGTGAAATTCAGAGTATGGATTTAGAAATACCTCAAGACCATCCGGTTATGCTGCTAAATTAAATATGTTGGTTTATAAAAATGGATTAAAAATGTCCTTTACACTTTACGTTTCTGTGACTTGTTTTTAAGGCTATACGTGTGATATTTTGACTCTCGACACTCTTGATTTTTCTCTGAAATTTCCCTTTTTCTTATAGGAAACTCCACAGCGTATAAAAGTATCTCAGTAATATTCTGTATCTACTCGTTCCAACACTTCATTTAATCTATATGATGCTCACTATGTTTTTTTTTTTTTATTTCTGATCACCTCCAAACAGCCTGACATGTTTGGTATCTCTGGAAACCTTTGGATTCTCAGTAAAACTTAAAATACATTTTCACCTTTGTTGTGAACAGTACCTGGGTACACACCGTGAGCCACTACATAATGTAGCCACTGACTGCTTTAGTGTCTGAGATGGAAGGATATTTAAATGATCAGTACTGCTGTAGTTTGTGCAAAACTTCTTTGTTCAATGTGATAATTTACACTGTGCACCTGACACCAGCTGCAACAACAGTAAATATTTTTTAAAGGGTGGGGAGAACAATTGGACATCTCAACATATAACCGTGTCCTCTGAATAGGAGCTTAGTATTGCTGCTTTGAAAAGGTTAAAATGATGAACGTTAAAATAAAGAAACCACTCCAGGATATGTTGAACATCAACATCTGCGCCTGTGACAGCTGTTGCTGAAGGGATTATGTTTTGGGGTTGTCACTACATATGTTGATCCTATTCTTGTGAACGCCTTGAGGAACTTCATCAAGTTTGGCGCAAATGTCCACTTGGACTCACATTGAACTGATAAGATTTTGGAGCCAAAAGGTCACTGTGACCTCACAAAACATGTTTTTGGCCATGATTCAAGAATTCATAGACTTATTATGGCAAAATTTCACACAAACGTGTGCTAGGATCAAACGATGAAGGGATGACATTTTATATCGAAGAGGTCATCTTCACGGTGACGTCACAATGTTCTGCAAAAACACTTTTTGGCCCTCATTAAACACCATAACTCGGAAACAGAAGGGAAGACATTTGGTTAAGATAGTGAATTGGCGACACTAATCTTGGGTGCCCACCCTGAAACTGCTGATTGTATAGATCTGTGCTGCTGGTTTGTAGATGTGTGAAGCATCCATGTTTACAATATCTAGCTTCTTTGCAGCAACACACATGTTTGAAGCATTATCTACTGTCACGGATACATATGAGTCTGGACAGACATGGATGTAAACTGCAACATAACTGGTTTGTGGAGGCATACAACTAGGTGGTGATTATTTAATTTTTTTCAAACGATATTTTAAGGAAAACTACACCCATTCTCAAAATTCATATGTGTTATTACTACAGTCTAAGACAGTCCAAAAATATTAGAAAAAAAGAACAACTCTCATATCCAAAAACTAGAGTGCTAAAACTCAAATTTGTGATGTCAAAAGTCTGGAGTTGCTCCAAAGACAATGAATTGAGAAAGATGTTAGAGATGACGTTAAGAGCACCCAGGGCAGTGTTCTGTGTATTTGGGTACATTTTTTTGTTTCAGAACTGAGAATACTACACTAGAATGAAGATCATTTGTGTACAAAAAAGACACCAAACATTCTGTAGGTCCACAACATTCAATTCAATTCAATTCAATTTTATTTATAAAGCCCAATATCACAAATCACAGTTTGCCTCACAGGGCTTTACAGCATACGACATCCCTCTGTCCTTATGACCCTCACAGCGGATAAGGAAAAACTCCCCAAAAACCCTTTAACGGGGAAAAAAAACGGTAGAAACCTCAGGAAGAGCAACTGAGGAGGGATCCCTCTTCCAGGACGGACAGACGTGCAATAGATGTCGTACAGAACAGATCAGCATAATAAATTAACAGTAATCCGTATGACACAATGAGACAGAGAGAGAGAGAGAGAGAGAGATGCAGGTAATGACAGTAACTTACAACAACATTATTGAAAGTAATAATATTATAGTTCTGGCTACTGTGGTACAATATGTTGAAAGTATGTATTAATATCTGGCAGTATAATTCATGTGTGACAATAGTCATATGTGTATAATAACAGTAGAAGACTCATCCATTGCCTATGGAGCAGCTCCAGACCTTATACTCCATGACATCACAAGTACTAGATTGACATCTTTGGTTTCTGGCTTTGAGAGAGTAGCTCATGCTCACAAATATTGATTGAACTTTCCTAGACCATAGAAATAACAGGTGGTGTTCCCATGTAATAGAGAAATAATAGAGAATCAATTCATGTCATTTGTGCTAACCACAGACATATGCAGTATATGGTCTATGATACAAACCAGTGCAAAACAGTGGCAGCAATGACTTACTAAAAAAAAAGAAGGTAATTTTTCTGAAGAGACTCTTAAAAGTGACTTTTTCTTCCAGATTTGTCCTTTAGTGTGGTGATAAGAATGGAAATAGCCAGTTCAGTTCCACCTCTGGTTGATAGTGCCCTTAGCTCATAATAATAGCACGTGAAAAATACCATTAATGGTATAATACATGAGAGGAACAGAGTCCTATTGGCAGGTGTGGGCTCGCTAAGATGAGGTAGCCAGACTGCCATCTAACCCACGTTACATACCAAGCGAGGACTAACTGGAAAAGCAGGAAATAGAAATGAAGCATCTCACTTGTCTTTTACTCTTCGGTAACCGGGAAGTGAAACCCCAAATAATGGCAAGCAACAGCAGTGAAAGCTGTTTACTATCTTTTTTCTGCACTGAGACCGCCGGTCACACCAAACGGCTGCGTAGAGGATGTGGGAAGTGTACGGGAGATGTTTTACAGCCAGCTGACCGCGAGAGAACAACCTGTCAAGCCTGTCAGATAATGTATGGAAGCCGAGGAGGGGCAGCACGGTTCCCACGCCTGATGGTCTCTATACAACCAGCCTGCTTTTTAATCCACAGTCGGACCGCATTTGCTCTGGAGGAATTACAGCCACAGCTTCTTTTGTTTCGTCAAACTGGCGCAAACTAGCCAAGACTTAGACTGGAAGTTAAGTTTTTTTCCTTGTAAACAACGCTAGTAAACGAGTAGCCTACTCGCTAACCAGGTGGACACACAAACGCTGAGACTGTCCATGTGAACTCGAGGACTGGGAGACAAATGTAACCACCGTGGGTAGATACAGGACCGCAGGAAATATACAGCCAACTGTTTTGTTACTGTTATTGTACAAGTGAAATTTTTGGCGTGATAATACACCCTTTTACAACTGAATAGTTTACATTTATTAATTTATGCCAATAGGATGATTGTTATAACCTCACTGCAAAAACCAGAATGAAGGTGCTGTATTATTACCTGGACGCGGACTTTGAAAAACTACATACCGGAAGTCTAATGTGTTGTCATTGTGTGCGGTTTGACTACATGCTGATCGGATCACATATCTATCCCAAAGCTGTCCACTTCTTCCTCCTTCCTAACTAAATGATTATGGAGCTCGTGCAGTGTCCCGACAGCATACACGGCGCGTCTCTCCGTTTCAGCGCACCCAGAGTCTGCAGGTAGCCCGGCAGGTGGCTCAGCAGCATGCAGTATGATGTGGAGTACAGCCCGGTGGGAGAGGGGCTGGGGATGCGGGACTACTGGTTCTATGTGTGGCTGCGGAGGGCGGCGGTGATAGCGGCTCATGTCACCGGCCTGGGCCTGACCCTCATCATCTCCCTGCTGTCCAGACCCGGAACCAGTGAGTGATACATGATGTTTGGATAAACACCACCGCAGACCCTAACACGTCTTTATTACTCATATTTATTCTCCAAAAGAGAACAACATTTTCATTAAATCTGCCATAGTTCGGAGGAATGATTTGTTAAAGCTCGAGTAATTCATTGCTTTATGTTTGTGTTATAATGTGAATAAATTAAATTGAAAATAGCCTAATTCATTTTTTAATTTATGAAAAAGACCACGAGCCTAATTTAAAATGTGTAACAAGGGCCTTTAAGATTAATGCAGTTTTATTTGTTTAGTTTTTTTCTCCCTGATATTTTTTTAATATAGCCATAGATTTTGGGTCGGTTGCAGAGGACACAATCCCCTCAATATTTAGAACATATGCACTTGTCCTACCCACAGTAAAAACATGAAAATAACAGATGACTCATATTACAACACAATTAAAGATATTTACACCATAAATTGATGCAGAAAAATGCACAAATTGGTGCATGAATATTAACAAGAATGCAGAAAATTAAGTGTTTAAAGCTCAAAAATTGCCTAAATCCCTATCCGCTGAAAGGGTCCAAGGACAGAGGGATGTTGTATTCTGTAAAGCCTTTATGAATAAAATTGAACTGAATCCCCCATTTCATATGTCCCTTCCTAATGTTTAAACAAAACCTACACCCCTGATTTTTAATATTAGAAACTTACAAATTAAACAGCTGAAAAGTAATCAATAAATAAAGTAATGAACTATTATGTATTCTCCTCCTAATAACTACCTCAACAAATTTTAGAGTGTTACTGGATCAGTGTTTGTGATATTTAACACTTAATAGGATATTTACTAAAGGTGTAAATCTCTTCAATGTTACTCTGAAGACTTACTGTGTAATGTTTCTATTGCCCTCTATTTGGGTCGCAAATTTTGATTATTCAGTTACCAGTACATCTCTGGATTTTTTGCTAGACTCTTTGTGCCATTTCTAAAATGTCTAATGATAAATGCCAACTGTTAAATTTGAAAAAAGTGATGAAACAGCTTCTTAAACTGTCACGCTTGAGAAGCATGTTCATTTCTGTCACTTGGGTAGAGCACAAACTATTGTCTGATTTAGTGTGCAGCCAATGTTAAATGTACTCCTGCTGTTTCCTTCAGCTGTGTTATCAGGTTCATTTGATAATCATTGTGGTAATCAGTTTGCATGCAAGCAATAGAAACTGGATACAGCAAGCAAAGGTTATAACAGGCCCTACTGAGGCCTCACTGATTGCTCAGATCTAGAAACATTATTAGTTTTGTGATCACTCAGCCGTTTTGTCATTAATGAACTCCCAACTTTCAATGTTTTTCTTTTGCATAGTTTTGAATTGTAAGATGCTCACTGGTGTTTCTCTGCTTTCCAGGTCTGTTTTCTTGGCATCCAGTGTGTATGTCTGTTGCAGTAAGTTTGCATATAACACACACACACACACACACACACACACACACACACACACAATACAAAGTCTTATCTTCTCATCAGTAATCCAGATCTGATAATGTGTTCAGTTTGTCTTAGCTCGCATGCAGTTGGCTGCACATTTTTTCACTGTAGCTAAACCTGTCAGTGTTTTGAAGTTAGTGTGTAGCTTTTATCAGTCTGTCTGACAGTTCCTGTTCAACCAAACACTTTTAAGGTTGTGCACTTGGGTCTTTCTTCTTCACAAGTTCCAACCTACCCTGCAGACAAAATGACAAAATGCTTAGACAAACACCATAGTTTTTATCTCATACTTACATCATTTTCTCATAATCGCAAGAAGAAAATACCCATGCCAGGAGAGACAGGACCTGACATGAGTTTATTGGCTTTTATTTCCTCCTTAATTAGACATATGCAGGCACATAAATACCATTGATTTATGTAGATCAATTATCAGTGGGAATGGCACATTGATTAACATATTACTACAAGCAGCGTTTACAGTAATGTGTTTAAAACTGATAAAATATAGGTTATAGGTTGACCATCATCAAATAAGACTACAGTATATGATTTCAAGAGTGCATGAGTTGAATATTAACTCTCCTGTAAACATTCAGCATACCTTTACCCTCACACCTTCCAGTCTTTTGTGTCTCCATCTTCTTTCCACTGTGAATAATAGATAGGAGGGGTTGGGAGGAGGGAATGCTAACACTGAACAACTGTGTTGCATCACTGAGCCGGCTATTGTGTTACAAAGTGACCTAGAACATGTTAGAGAGGACAGCTTGCAGGTAGACGTGGGGTTTTCTCTGTCACGGCTCATGGCTGTACAGCAGTGATGATTGGAAACGATGCGTCATCACAGTGTGTCAGTCGTGATAACTTACTGTACAAACATCGTGCCTCTCCTGTCAGAAACAGCTCTTCCCTTTGAGCTGAATGTCTTTGATCGATGTGAAGATTTTCCTCCTCAGAAATTAATTCAAAGCACATTCAACAGAAGCCTGTTTATGACTCACTGCTCACTTTGTTAACCAACAAACCCCACACACACACACACACACACACACACACAGTTTGCTTATGTCACTTTTGGTGACATTACATCGATTTGCATTTATTTTTGCATTTATTTACTTATTTACCTAGCCCAACCCTAACCCTAGCAACTACTTGCCTAACCACTACTATAACCTTAACCTAACCCTAACCTCAACTACTGACCCAAAAATCAGCTTTTTCCAAACTAGGCACAGAGCTTTTGTTCATTACTTTTTAGTCACCTGAAATTAAGAATTGTTGTGTTTTAGTTACCTTAGAATGAACCCTTAATATCTACATACAGACTAGGTCCTCTTCCTCTGAGTCCGCCATGTTGTTCTACAATAGCAAAGAATGGACAAACCACACACTGGCTCGAGGTATTGCCATTTGTATTTTTGGATCAGCCACAGTAGTTCACATGGGAGAAGTTTCAGTTGGTTGCAGTCTGCAACCTCACAGCTAGATGCCACTAAATCCTACATGCTTGTTTTTTAAAAGGTCTAAAGTGTGTCCCCAAAGAGCAAATAAGTTAGGCACGTACACACACACACACACACACACACACACTCTCTTTAGCCCCTTTTATGCAGCCTGTTTAAGGCAGGAATTTCATGCTTATATTCTGCCTCGCCGTTCTTTATAGAGGGTACGATCGCAGCACCTTTAAGCCAGCAGTGGAGGTAGTAGCAGCGCCAAATTGATGTCCGTGTTAAAGGAACAGCCGGCAGGAGAGGACCATGGGTGGGACAGGTGTGATGTTTTGGTGGTGTGTTATGCATGTGACCAACTGGGAGTGATTTAAAAAGTAGCTGATAGCAGTTATCAGCTAACTCATGGAAGAAAAGCAACTGCAAAAATGTTTGCTAATTAGGTAAACAATGAGGTCTGGAGCTCCTTACTTTCCGAGCAGAGGATGAGATCAGCCGCCATATAACAGAGACGGTAAATTAATGTTATTGCCATGTTTATGCCATTATTATTGTTTACAAACAGTGCTGACAAATATGTTATATGTCACACCAGAGGCCAACGCTGTTGTGTTACACGTCATGCCCGCCACGCCCTTTTTTTGCTCCTGTGATGCTGGCATGCTGTCTAAAATTACACAGGAGAGCGACGATGCCAGCTTTCTTTGGTTCTGTGTGGAAAAAGCAAAGGCGGCGTGGAGAAGGGACTTCGTAGCGTCCCTATAGTGCGATCTCTGTGTAAAAAAGGCCGGTCTCTCACTGGGGTCAGACTTTATTTAAATCATAAGTGTTGCTTAAGTCTGGTCCACAATGTTTGTTTTCCAAAGTTTTATTCACTAGCTGCCTTTTTTAATAAGAAAATGTTTTTTGATTGATATTGAAACACACCTACCATAGGCTGTTGCTTTGACAAGGAGTTATGCAGCAGTCAAGCGTGAAACAATGCAAACCAGTCGAGCAGACTTACTGTGCAACATAGTCATTACAGCTCAATTGTGCAATGCCTTGACGGTCTCATAGTGACAGAGTGGTGACTGCCCACTACAAATGTTACTGCAAAAGGGGGAAGAAAACACCTTAAAGCTGGGGTAGGCAGTTTAATTTTGTCTGTGTCTTAAGAGAACACTTCGCCTCTGCACCTTTGCTTTGCTCTATTTTTAGGCTTTAGAAAACGTAGCCCGTGAAAGGCCCTCCATGTTGAAAACATTCTAGCTAAAACGAAACCCCGCCCACTGATCGGGGTTTGATTGGTTGTTTTCTTGATTCCTGCAAATGCCATTAGGAGCACCGGGAGGAGGCAGAGGAGCATGATTATTTTCAGAGTTTATCTGCCTCATGTACTACTGTCAGAATATAGTGACAGTTATAAATTATAACGTGTTGTCATATTTCCTACGAAAAGGTTACCTACTGTAGCTTTAATTAACACATTTTTGTCTTTCGTCTCCTTCTGCAGTACTGCCTGTGTATGACTGAAGGCATCCTCCTCTTCTCGGCTGAAGGATCCCCCTTTTGCTTCAAATCTCGGAAGGGTAAACTCCGTCTCCACTGGTTTTGTCAGGGTCTGGTCCTGATAGCTGCTGCCACTGGGCTGGGCTTCATGGTTGCCAGCAAGAACGTGTCCGAGATTCCCCACCTGGTCAGCTGGCACAGTCTGCTGGGCATCTGCACCTTGGCTGCCACCGTGCTCCAAGTGGGTTGCGGTATCTGTGTGAAGTTCCCAAAGCTGCTGCGTCTTTCCTCCTCTCCACCGAGGCTGAAGCTGTACCACGCCACCTGTGGTCTAGTGGTCTACCTGCTGGCCACAGTGACCGTAGTCTCGGCCATGTTCTCAGATTGGTTCCAGGCCACGGTGAAAGGCACAGCCTGGTGGGCTTTCCTCCTGCTGCCCCTCTTCCCCGCCCTGGTGGTGATGAACCAGATCACTAATGCCTACCTGCCCCGCAAGAAGATCACCAGCTAGGAAACACATAGCACAAGCAGATTTGCTTTATTCACTTGGTGGTCATTTTGGATTTACATTTTGCACAGAAGCTCAGAGAATCAGATGGAAGCAAGAGTACCCCGCTAAAACATTGACGAGACAACAACTAAAGCAAACAGCTTGCTGGTCGTCCCACAGACTGTGAAAACATGGGTGTCTGTCTTTCACTGCAAGTATCTGAAGAGAAGTTTGGTAGCCTGGACTTTACTGCTTGCCAAGATCTTTGTCAGTAGGTGGAGCCAGAAATTCTTCATTTGGCAAAAGGCCAGAGTCTGAAGGAAACTGAGATTAGACATGCAAAAACACCATATTTGATTTTGATAATCTGTGTTTACTAACATTAAGTCTGTACCCTCAAATCAAATGATTTCTTTGTGCACTCAGATTAATTTCTCTGATACCTCAAGGACTCAGCAATTCACAGTTTTCTTAAAGCCAGCATCTAGTGGCCAGTAGAAGAACTGCAACTTAAAACACTTTGACTTTGGCATCTTTGGCATCCTCAAGCTCTGACTCCTGCTGAAATAATAAACTGTCAAAGAATCTGATGACACTATGCATATGTGGGCTATCATGCCAAGTGTACATGCTTGGAACTGAAAATGTACTGGAGGCAATCCCATAGCTGGAGCTGGCTGACACCTAAACGTCTTTCATCTGTTGCATCCCCAGAGGAATATTTTCACTTGGTATGTAATGAAAACAAAAGTCGCAAAGATAGTGTATATAGACTGGTTTCTGAGTGGATCTGAAGCACATACTGCTGTTTGTGTGAGGACACAGCCTTAGTGATGAAGGTGCTGTGGATTGTTGCACCAGCCTGTAAATTCTATTTATTTATTCATTTATGATATTTTTGTGTTGTGTCTGTCTTTGTTGCTTAGAGGTGCTACATGTAGCATTTTAGCATTAAAATTTCATCAATAAGTATTTCCTAATATTCCCTCCAGGATGTTGCGATGACAATAATTTGTGCAAACTCAGCCAATCCCTGTGATTCTGCACAATCTGTCAATTTTATTCAACCACTGCAACTTTACTGCTTAAACAGGTAAAATCTCATTTAAGTTGCGTGCAGTGTATTGATGGCTTTCTGTTTATCGTGACACTAGCTCACTGCTGCAGGACTGGAGCTCTGTGCCTGGGACCGAGTCCCACACACACAGTGACAGAGCCAACAGTTCACACAACTAACGTTATCCAATGTCCAATAACAGGTTTAACTACAAAGGTTAGGAGTCAGAGGTTAACTGCTGCTGCGGGGCTTCTATGCAAAGGGCAAAATATGACGAGTTGTGATGAGATCATAATGTGCTGTGGTAGTTTGTACTAACAGGGCAGAGAGTGCAGGAAGAGAGCGGCTCACGGAGACAGTTGACAATCAGCTGTTGCAAACCTTTGCCAAATTCCGGAGGAACTTAATATTAAAATTGAATCAAATGACAACACGTAAAGTGGAAGTGGTCACTCGCAGCTGGTGAATACAGTGGAGCATTTAGCGGCTAAAGCAGGATATTTTTTTTCAGGAGTTGTTGGTGACCAAACCAGAGCTAAAAGGAGAGTGAATAGTGGAGTCATCAGATGGACACAAACACCACTCCAAATGAATGCTTATGTTGCTCTTTGATACAACTGTTCGCTAACACATTAGCCATAATGTTGCTGCAGAGTGCTTCTGTTCCTTATTGGCCACAAAAATTAATCAATTCAAATTTAGTAGAGCAGAGAGAGCCACAGGGATGTCGAGACAGCACTACAATGGTTGTAAACAAATGAGATCATTGTATTGTTAATATTGTTTTTTAGGGACAATGGCATGGCTGGATAGGTAGCTAGTCTTGTTAAACATACTGTCAAAATACATTTACTGTTTTTCAACTATATACAGTGTTACTGACTGTGAATCTTGCTAGCATAACATTAGCTCTCTGGCTCATAGCTGAGCAAACACAGCTGGCACTGGAAGTTAATTTGACGTCAGAAAGATGTCAAACTCTTACGTCCGACAGACTTTAAATTATGGTTGGAATGAAAATTGGATTGATGATATTTTTTACTGTCTAATGACATTAGAATTTCATATTGTGTGGACATTAACAGTATGACGTATCGCAGATGTTGGGTTTTAGTCTCCATACCTCATAACTAAATGTGGATATTCTACTTCAAACTGATGTTAGCATTAGACGTTGCTCTGACATTGAGTTCTGGTTACCTGATGTCACAACTTAAATTCAACCAAATATCAACGGCTAATGACGTTGTTGGCCAGCTGTGAAAGGTTCTCCCATTGCCAAGTCGTATTTAAGGTTTGTCATATTTACTGGAGTAGTTGAACGTTTCCATTGCATATGAAACTTATGGGATACCAGGGAAACTGAGTTATGGCTCTTTAAAAACTTTAGATTTTGATTGTAAAATAAGTGGTCTTCGAAAAACATCAGCTTTAGCATCATCATTGGTGTTAGGAAATGGTTTTCTCGATGATGCCTCATTTGATTATAAAAATGCTAGCATTGCTAACCTAACTGACTCCTGAAAATCTACATGTAGCACCTCTAGTTCTGTCACTATGAACATGTGACCCCTTTCTGTCTTTTAAGTGGTTGTTTGTTAGCCATGCTCTCTGTGTTTTGTTTGCTTTTATAATCAATGGGAAAAATGAACATGCACACACTCACGTGTTGCTTTGTCATACAAGGCCAAAGGCACAAGCTTTCTTCTAGCAAATATGTCATCAATCAGTTCCTCCAGGAACCGTACTAAAATAAACCAATCCCCTATCAGAAGACCTGAAAACTGAGCCAATCCCTGCACTTTTCCATCCAATTCAGAACGATTGTTAAGAGCCAAGGTCAATAAATCTCAACTTGGTCTCAACAACCTGGCCTCCTCTAAATCTCACCAAACTACTAATACATTTCTACCAATCTACAACTATTTTTACCAACAAACTAACCATTTGATACTCTATATGGAGCTTGTTGGGAAGGATACACAGCACGGGAGGAAGCACGACCTTACAGGCCAAATTCAGGGCAAATAAAAGTCTGAAGCGGGTAGTTTTCTAGAAAAGCAGCTGCAGTTTGTGTTATTTTAAGCTGCAATAATCAGGACAACACTCGGTGAGACCCTGGTGAGACAGATGAATGTGGACCTATTAAACCTGATGCACAAAGACCTATTGGATGTACTGATCCTCCAGCACCTTGCCTCAACCTCTTTTTATTAGTCACTGCTAGGCAGCTTATGCAAATATAAATCCGTAGTGGTGTTTCCTTTTTGACATAATACTAAGTCGATTATAAATCATTGGATGGCCCTCAGACTGCAAGCAGTGATATCGACTGTGTCGTGAAAGCTGAAGTAGGTAACTGTTATAAAAATAACTTTTTGTGATATTTGCTGAAACTGTCACTGTATCCTGACAGTAGTACATTAGATATTGTGTGAAAACAAAATCTGGTTCCTCTGGGTCCTCCTAGTGCTGCTAATGGCCTTTGCAAGAATCCACTGCACCTGAACCAAAACAACAAATCAGAGCCAGGGGAAGTCATTAATCCAGCTGTTGATCATGTCAACCACTGCTTGTGCACAGGATGTTTAGCCAACAACAGCGCACAGAGCAAAGACAAGTAAAAATTACAAGACCATTGACTAAAAGCCTGCTTTCACTTCCACTGAAGATCAACAGTCTTCTTCTCTTTACTCGTATTTGCCATGCTGTCGTTTGCAAAGGAGGAATGGGCAGTTTTTTCATTGCTCGTGGCTGTTTCTCAGCCATTGTGTATGCAGTGCTCCTTCTGAAGATATGCACTGAAGTGGGAGCATAGTCTCCTTTGCTCTGATTGGTTGTTTTCGTTCAAGTGTGTTAGATTCTTGAAAATGCCATTAGGAGCACTAGGAGGGGCCATAAGAACCAGATTTTTTACACATTAATTGTTTAGTACGACTGTATTACTGCAATGGTCTTCTAGGACTTTCAAAACAAGCTGCCACACTGCCTGTCAGGATATAGTGACAGTTTCATCAAATATAACAAAAGCTATTTTTTAAATAAAAGTTACCTACTACAGCTTTAATATGAGATACTGAAAGATAAGTCAACACATCTTTGTCCTCCAAAAGCACTCATCAGATGTAGATTGCACTTAATGCTGGGAAATTGTAAGAAAACCAGGAAATAATACACCTTCCATGAGTTCATTTGCAGACTGGGTTTGACCTTTTAGCTGTATTTCATGAAAATCAGGGTTTCTACTGATAAGTTGAAGATTTTTTTTCTCAACTTTTTTCTTTCCTGCTTTTGTTAGCAATTTTCTATGTGATTTATGAAAACATGTACTGCAATAAATGTACAAAAGTATAAGTACTTTGCCTTGATGAGGGAGTGGAAATCATAATTCCAGATTTAGTGTGAATTTTGTAACTTCTTTACCTTTTTTGGTCCTACTGAGCACAACTCGCTCACAAATAAACGTGTTCTGTGTTCAACGTGCTACTCAAGTCTTTGCATTACGAGTCTGATCAGAGTGTTAATGAGGTAATCAGAATGTAAGTTGTAGGTTTATATTTATCCAATCCTTGTCAGCAGGTTGCTGCCTGTGAACCTTCTGTAATAAACAAATATCTACATTTGAATTTGTAGTGTTTGTTTTTATCTCTAATGAGGCAAAGCCACCCTTAAATACCTTTTTTTTTTTTTTTAAACTGGTGACAAACCATTTCATGTTTCAGACTGCAGAAAACTACATCAGAGGAGAAATAACTTTCTTGAGCTGTCATTTTCACAATCAAAGATTTCCAGCATAGAAGAGTGATACCAGCCTCTACCCCTTCAGTAGTGGAAAACAACCTAGAATGCAATGCAGCCTTACGTTACTTTTATGCTTCAAAAATCCAAGGATAAGTCTACCAATATTCTATGTATTTTTCTTATCTTTTACAAACAAGTAGCAACCTCCGGGGCTAAAAAAATGAAGCCAACGCAGAGTGCAAAAATGCTGCAGTTCCTCTAATGGCCACTTGAGGCCAGCTCCAAGAGCGAGTCAACCCCCATAGACCCCCATGTTAGAATGCCCAACTTTACAACTGAAATAAACATGTTTACAACCTCGTACAAAAAACTGTTTTGATCTCTGTAATTCATTTCCTCATCCATGACAGTTGTATGGTGGATGGATATTTATATAACACATCCGTTTACATTTTATTAAAGCTTAAAGTTATGTGTAATTAGAGTGTGGCCGCTTTAAGTGACAGGTGGGTGAAGTCTGTTGACAAGTCGCTACCACAGCGACAATGTTGGTTAGATAATGCAACCATGGAGTAACCCCAGATTCACAGAATATAGGCTTAACCGTATCTGTTGCTATTTCAGTGTGTTTTCAACTCATGAAAGCTAGTTGTGACGTTTTGGTGGTCTAAAAAGTCTTGTTCAGAGCTTGGTTGGACCCAAAGACCCCCTACGGAATTGGATGTTCAGTTTTTCTGTTAGGTACATTTTGTTTAATGGTTTGAAGCCATTTTTGCTTGCAAAAATTAGCATTAGCAGTATAACAGTTAACCATAGCTGTAAATGCATCGTGCTAACCAAGCTAGCAGCTAACGTTAGGTCACCTCCACCCTCTTGGACAAGAGGGCGACGGCCAAAATGCCAAACTCAAGGCTTCAAAACAGGAGTCCACAAACCAGTGGGTGATGTCACAGTGGCTATGTCCATCATTTTTTCCAGTCTATGTTTACAAATCACATGAAAAGACCCAAATCAATAATGAATGTATTTGCTGACAAGTATTTGCTGTGTATCAAAGCCTAAAATATCTTCTTCCTTTGTACCATAGAGCGCCGTTGTTGTCCAAAAACTATTAAAAACTCATCAAATCCTTCATTACCATGAACACGCACACTGTCGTTTATTTTGACTCAGTCCCACATACACTGCCTTGTTGCACAAAAATACTCAGTAGAACAGTGATTGTTGAATTTTTTTCAGTAATGTACCCCCCTTAAAATATATTTTTTTAAGTGACCAGTGCTAAACATTTTTGGTAGGAAAAAAAAGCCTATATGAAGAGGTACAACACAGGGCTGTGCCATCAGCATCTGATTTACTAAACAACAACCTTGTAAGTGAAAAACACTGAAATACCTCAGCTCAAATCTGTCACTTACATTCATAGCAAAGCAGGTTATTGTCATCATGCAGTTACACTAAGACAGCATTGTTGTTGCATTAAACTGCATTTTTTTGATAAGTTGCACTTACAATGTAGTGATATTATTTTAGGAATTATGCATGACTGATATTTTTTAAATAAACATTTAAAAACAAAACATTCTCCAAAGTACCCCTAGGGTGTGCAAACCCCATTTGAGAAACACTGCACTATTCGAGTAGCAAATGTGGATAAATCCACAGCTGGAAATAGTCACTGACAAATTAACTGTTTCCTGCTGTTTGTGAAGTCAGAGATACAGACACTTTGTTGGTCTTTTCATGGGATTTGTTGCAGGGGCGCAGTGCTATTTGTTTAAATACCATAGCACACCTATGACATGTGTGCACATGCAAGACAAAGTTGTAGCTCGTTTCGAAGGTTATGTAACCTGTTCCTGTACTGGCAAGTTCATATACATAAGTCATCTATAACTATAAAATGAAAGGATGTTTTGTTGCCTTTTTGTCTTAACTGGTTAATAGTTGCCAATTAAAGACTGAGAAACATAATTTAATTCAGTGTGCTGCTCAAAGGCTAGTGCCAGCAACTTTTCAAGGGTAACGTTGGTATTTTTCAACCTGGACCCTGTTTTCCCACATGTCTGTATCTAAGTGACTAATAGGTACAACAATTTTTGAAACTAGTCCAGTATTGAGTGAGAGGAGTAGGGAGGGATAGGGTGCCAAACAATGGTGAAGCGTCGTTTTGGTGTGCTCCGGCAGCACTAAACACCCGATTTGTTGACTATATGAGAAATACAGAATGCAGCAAACCTTATCCTTCAATGAACACACTTTCAAACCATCACTTTGAACGTGTGTTCATTGTCTTACTCAGTGAACACTTTGCAGAATTTCGGATAAAAGCTCAACAAAAAGCTGGTAAACATTTTGTCCATGACAACTTTTTTCCAAGGTCAAGAACTTTCACACTCCAAACCATCACCTTCAATTGAATGTGCACAGTCTGTATCCAGGGGGTCATTGTGTGGTAAGTATAGTAACTGAAGGAGAGATAGACGAGGCAGCCTGAGGGAGGTCAGCAACTTCCTGTGCTCTTTGGGCACGACCCTTACAGACCAACCTGGGTTTCTGCATATAAACTAAAATGAAACACATTTTATCACCACATTTAATTAAAACATCAAAACAGCTCTACCACAGAAAAGATTTTGGTGACTAAATATGAACCCACACCACAAAAAGTCCTTAGCTTGTGGATGATGTCAGTTTAGCCTGTGTTGTAGCTGTGTCCATGATCAAAGGAGACAGTAAAACTGCTCAGTGTCTAGAGTGATCGTCAAGGGTTCAAAGTTTGTGGTTAGGAGTCAGGACCTGGAGGTTTGTCCTCACAGATGAAGGTGACTGAGCTGTTCAGAAGGTCATACATGTTGACCTCCACCACCTCCGCTGATGATACACCCTCTCGTCCACCTGACAGAGCCACAAACACCTGCTGGGCAGCTGCCAGCTGTGCCTGCTCCTCAGAGATCACTGACTCCGCCTCCTCACTGCCTGTTGGATCTGCTGCAATCACCTGATTGGACAGAAAAGTTGTTTATTCAAGTGGAAGCAGACAAGTTTTTTTGTTCTAACTTATAATTAAGAAGTAAATGTTGATTGCACAATGTAGTGGCTACAGAATAATGACCAGAGTTTTTACATTATGTTAAACTTTAAACTTAAGGACCTTTAAATGACTTTCCAGGGCAAATTCCCTTGAATTCAAGGACCCAACATGGCATAGTTTGAGACACGGATTAGGGTTAATTACTGTAACAACACTGGGATTGTTTATAGTGACAGCTTGTTGTGTTACAATGATGGCAGACAATATCAAAAGAACAATTTCTAGTCTTGCACAAAACATATCAATTCAAACACTTGACCTATGACCCATGTCTATTCATGTCTGTTTTCAAAAATTTTCACACCTTGAAAATTCACAAAGTTTCAAGGAGTTCAAGGACCAATGGGAACATGGAATGGCACCCTCGCAATGCATTCATTATGCATTATGCAGCCACCGAGTACAATCTCTTGGGGAAACTAAAGGCTACACTTACAGCACAAAGGAAGTGTATCAACCATTGCACGACCAAAACAGGAAGAGGATAGCGCTTTTGTTTTTCTCCAGTTACTTAAGAGTATCAGTGTAAGTACTTTGCAGTTACTTGCTTTGCTGTTAGCAGAAACGGTCGACTGTGGAGCAACCGAAGTAACTGTGGAAACGAAAATGCAGTGTGTCCTGTGTTGTTGGTAGCTGCTGGGCTCTGGGGAAAACAGACAGCAATCCAGTTATCTTTGCGACAGCAGTGCCAAAAATATTCCAGAAAGGAAAAGTGCACTGCTCCGCTAGTTGGAACTTTAAATATTTTTGTATTTTGGCCACACTCTGATAAGTGTTGTCAAAGCAGATTTTTTCCATCACCTGATCAAAGCACCTGTAGTGATGTCACTGATTGGAGTGTGGGAACTGCTTCAAAGTTTCAGCAGCAGTGCTCTGCCCTGTTTGATTCGGTGTTGATTTGGTATTTAAAAGACTACTCCATCCATTTAGCAGCGCACTCTTATAACATCAATTTAGATCAAGTCAATGTAGACAGACAAAAAAGTGTGTTCACTTAATTGTGCAGGTTCAGTATTTACAGATTTCATTTAGTGCTATTTCATCAGGCTGCAGCTTAAAATCATTTTCATGATGGCATAATTCTTTTTAAATTAAAAACTTATGAGTCAAAGATTTTATCTTTCACATGCTCATTCTGCATGTGTTGTGAAATGCAGAGTGACACAATATTAAGGCTGTGTACAATAACTAATGAAAGATAAAACTAACAAATATATGTAATTTAAGTAGTCAAAGGGCGAAGTGTGTACTGACCCAGTGTGTGGGTGGGCTGTGCAATTTCTCAGTATATAGAAATGTAAAATGTGAACGTTGTCAGGCAAAATATACAATAATATTTATTTTAATTAATTAATCCCTTGGTCTATAAAAAGTATATGTTAAATTCCCTGAGGCCAAAATGATGTCTTCACATTGCATAGTTTGTATGACCAATCATAAAACAACTAAGTTATTTCAACTAATACTGTAATAATAATTAAGTATAATTATGAAATATAACAAGCAAATAACATCACTAATGTTTGACAATGCCACTGATAAATGACTTAATTAACTACCTAATAACCAACTGTCTCTTACTATTTGTCATCTGAGCTGAGGTGGACAATATTTTTCAGTCTCTAACAGCTGAGAGATGAGACTGCACAGCCTGCAGGAAGCTTGTGTGTGCTATATTCCCTGTCTGACTTGAGGGCAGCAGTAGAGCTCCTTACTGTGTGGGAGGTGGAGGCCTGCTCCTCTCTGACCTCCTGCTCCTCCTGGGCATCCACGTGGCAGGCGAGCAGGTGCTCCTGCAGCTCCAGCTGGGAGGAGCAGACCAGGGAGCAGAGGGGGCAGCTGAACCCCTCACTGCTCTGGCTGACGTGCTGGCTGCTGACGTGCTCCTGCATCTCCTCCTCCCCACCCAGCACAGCCGGGCAGTACGGACAATGCAACGCGGACGCTGCTGAGCCTGGAGAAGTGACAAACAAGATCAGTAAAGACAGCAAATGAGGAGCTTGTGCAAGAAAGCTGCTCTTGATTGGTCAGAATTTCCATGCAGGAAAAATCCAGGAAGTAAACAAAAAGTTGAAGAAGAGTACACTTGCAAGATAAATGTGACACTTTCTAATGTCACAATGGTGGGCCACTTACGCAGGTTGATTTTAGCGCTGCTCATCGTGGACTATATTGCTGTCATTGTTCATTTTAGTCAAACCATACAGTTTGAAAACGAGGCGCGGCTCCAACTAGAAAACAATGTTTTGATGCATTGGATGTGCTGAATGTGCATATCAAGGCAGTACAGGAGGAGGTGCACATTAATAATCCTCCCGGACTGTAACATGCTCATGTTTAACCCAAACAATGTGTAATGTGACTGCAGTTGGTTCAGATCGAGGTCGGAACACGTTCTCACCACAAACGAACTGAACCAGAGTTCGGTTGTAACCGGACCAAGACCATTTCTTCAAGAAGGTCTTGGTGTGGTTGTTTTGGTGCACGCCCAAGTGCGATTGCTGTGTTCACACCTGCCCAAATGAACGCACTTAGGGGGCAAACAAACTTGAGTTCGACTGAAGCGAACAACACAGGTTATGTGTGAAAGCACCCTAAGTCTTTCATTACTGAAGTTGCTAGGGTGAAATTAATTTAAAACAAATTTGGAAATGTTTTGAAATGAATTGTCCTTTAAACTCAAGTATATTCTGGTGTTGTTAAAACAAATTGTTGGTTTTATTTTTCATCTGTTCTTCATCTCTCCTTAGATGTCCAAAGTGTCCTCAGCAGTAGCTGTTGAACAGCTGCTCACAATGAAGAAAAAGACGGTAGCAATGCACTCTATTATTCTGCTCTTCACATGGGTTTCTATTTCAAACATATGTGACTGGTATTTAAATGACATCCCCAGTAGATTTCTGAAACATACCTTGAACTTGAGATGTAGCCAAAGATTTCTGAGATTTCTCTTGAGGCTAAATTGTTTTGGTGCACAGCCACATTTGGCCCATGTGCCATTATCTACCTTTTAATATGAACCTGTACTGAATCTTATACTCAGGCCTGTGTGGTACTCACCTTGGTGCTCAGCAGCCTGGTGTTTGGCCACAGTGGCAGCGCTGGGAAAGAACTTAAAGCAGACGTCACACTGAACCAGGGTCTTGAGCTGCCGTGTGTGGTTAGCAAACACATCAGGGTGGTTGGTTCTGTTGTGGTACCACAAGCCTGACAGTTGCTACAGCAACAGAGAGAGACAGATACATAAAATAATGGACAAACTGACAACCACCTCAGAGCTCTGAAGCTGAACAACCTCATCCTACCTGGTAAGATTTGTTGCAGAGGTCGCAGCTGAAGGGCTTGCTTCCAGTGTGTGTGCCCTTGTGTTTTTCCAGCAGGGCGGCGCTGGTGAACACCTTATTACAGGTGGGACATTTGTGGAACTCTTTTGGGTGAAACTCCTGGATGTGCTGGCGATGCTCCTCCAACGAGGCGAAGCTGAGACAACACTTCTGACAGTCATGAGGCTCCGACAAATCTGACAGGAAGTGGCGTAAAATCCATCGTTATTACATTATTATGTTACATGATTGCCACGGAAGCTAAGCAATGTACTGCTGTGGACTAAATTTAGAATATTTTCACCACTTTACCTTGCTGTCAAACAGCCCTCTCCCTGACAGGGACCTGAAGCCGTTATATTGCTATCTTCAAAGCCATCAGCCTCCATTAGCAAAAACAGTCATTTTACTTCACAGAACACGGGAGCTGCTGGTCTATGACTGCCTCAATCAGTTAGTTTGTTTGTGTTATCTGGTGAAAGGTTATACAAACTATATCTGATATTATTCCTACTCAGCTGCCTAGCTGTCCTCGGGCATTAAAGGGATAGTGCACCCAAAAATGAAAATTCAGCCACTATCTACTCAACCATATGCCGAGGGAGGCTCTGGTGAAGTTTTAGAGTCCTCACAACACTTGTTGTGACACACTCTGTTTTTAGCCTCACTGTAGCCTGCAGCTCTGACTGCCTCTGTGTACACTGCGCTGACGTGTGTGTGTGTGTGTGTGTGTGTGTGAGCAATGAGGCTAAAAACAGAGTTTAAATGACGTTTTTCCAAACAACTTTTATGTCGGGGCTTCAGGACACTTGGATCACTACGAACGAGCAGTATGGAGATATTTTATGGTTTCAATTATGTGTTCTTGGACATTTGAATCTGGGTCGGCATCAGCCATTAGGTGCGCAGTTGTGCTGCTACCCACTCCCCCCTCGGATCCCCGTAAGTGTTGTAAGGTCTCTAAAACTTTACCAGGGCCTCCCTCAGCATATGGTTGAGTATATAATGGCTGAATTTTCATTTTTGGGTGCACTATCCCTTTAATCCTTGGACTATTTCCACCTGAATTACGCCTGTCAGGTGCAACTAAAAAGATAATCACTTTATGCTAACTTAAGGCTAAATACTGCATTGCACCTGCCCACAATAACACAAACTAACTATCTGATTTAGGCAGCGACGGTCCAGCAGCTCCTATGTTCAGTGAGTTAAAATTACTGTTTTTGACAATGATGTCTGGTGGCTCTGAAGAGAGTACAGATAAGGGCTTCCTCATACAACCTCACTTCAAAAAATCCATACTATCACTTTAAGGACACTATCAAAGCTGAACTCAATCATTTCTAATCGACAGTAAATAATGAACACGTAAGAATGAACCCCACAATGCAGCACTAATGTGTGAGTGTATTCTTACTGTGGAAGGTGTGCAGGTGGACGGTGAGTCCGCTGGCTTGGCTGTAACCTTTGCCACATTCTCGGCACACATAAGGCCGATCACCAGTGTGTGTTCGCACGTGACGGGTCAGTTCAATGGACTGGGCGAAGACGGCCTTACAATACTGACACACATACATCTTTCCTAAAGACACAAAAAAAGACTCATTGAATGTGCACAGACTGAATCGACTGGACAAAAAAGACATCGCTAAGAGGAGATTTCTCAAATCACAACACAAAGTTTAGACTAAATTCTCAGGCTAACTTATCATCAGTGACACACAAGATTTGGAAACATTTAGATTTTTAATTTTTTTAGTTACATACATGAGATAGTCAGTGATATAATAATCAGGATTATATGGTCATCAATGTGTGTGTGTGTGTGTGTGTGTGTGTGTGTGTGTGTGATTTTTGATTTACCCTCAGAGTGTTTCTTCTTGGTGTGGTATGCAAGCGCAGCGGCCACGCTGAAGCTCATGTCGCAGTGTTTGCAGTGGTAAGGTTTCTCTCCCGTGTGCAGCCTCATGTGGTTCTTCAGAGACGAGTTGGCGCCGAACTTTGCGCCACAGTCCTCGCAAGCAAACGGTTTCTCTTCAAAGTGCTCTGTGCGCTTGTGGTAAATCATGCCTGAAATGTGACAAGAGGGAGCAAAAGCATTAGAATACAGTTTATAGACTAACAAGTGTCAGATTATAAAGGCCATCTTGTATAGAAATATGTCTGGATATTACGAATCAGGTGGTAGCCAAACTATCACTGATGAAGTATGAATGACGCAGGTGATGCCATTTTAGCTTGATGTCATGTGAAATCTTAAAGAATCAGTTCACCCAATATCAAAAATGCACTCTTTTCCTCTGACCTGTAGTGCTAATTATAACTATGGATTGTTTTGTTTGAGTTGCTGAGTGTTGGAAAAATCCGCCATAGAGTTGTTGCCACCCTGTTGTGAGCAGTTTCATGTAGGAACTATTGTCTTTCTACTGAACTACACCGGCCAATTGCGCAGAAGGAAGCGTGCATCCCATCATAGACAAGAGGCTTGGTGACAGCGGGAGGTGTAAAAATGAATGGCATCCTCCCCAGTTGAGTTGTAACGTTAGCAAGCTCAGTGGTTCTAGGTGAGCTAGCAGAAGATGCACTCTTCCTTCTGCGCAGTGATACGGTTGGTGGGTGTAGTTCAGTTGAAAGAAAATAGTTTCTACATGAAACTGCTCACAACAAGGTCTGTGGATTATTTTGAGTAACTGGGTCAAGATCTCTGGAAAGAGACACTGCTGTTGATTTTTTTCAGATGTATTTTTGGAACTTTGAGCACCACAAGCCGAGTGCTCAAGTTTTATTATATTGGAGAGAAGGCAGACATCTCTATAGGTGATATCTCCAACACTCTGCAGCTTAAACCAAAACAATCCAGACTGATAAATAGCACTACAGGTAAGAGGAAAAATATGTAGTTTTGATTTGGGAGTGAACTGTCCCTTTAACAAAACACCACCATGACCTGCAAGTTTGGGTGTCACAGTTGAAGTGTATAACATTATCATTTGTGTTGCATACAAACATAGCGTGAGTTCCCTGCATTACTCTCTCTGCCTTGACCAGCGATTCTCACCTGATGGGTGAGCAAAGGTTCGCCCACAGAGGTCACAGGCCACCTTCTTCTTCACTCGCGTGGTGTTGCGGTGAGCCTCGGCCCGATGCCGCTGCAGGGCTCGCTGGTTGGCCAGCTTCTCCGGGCACTCCGGGCACTGCTGCTCACACTCCTGGGACATGGGGCAGCGCTTTATGTGGGCCAGCATTCGACACTTGTAGGCAAAACCCCTCTTACACCAGCGACAGGAGTAAGGCTTGGAAGGGGAGGAAGAGTCTGTCGTAGCAGTTTTGACTTTGTCGTCCTCTTCAGTCTCCTCCTTAATGGTTTCTTCCTCTTCCTCTTCCTCCTGCTTTTCTTCACTTCCGCTACTGTCCTGCTTTTCTGAGTCAACTGTAAAAGATGGAGAAAAGGTTAAAAAATGTTTGAACTATTATCATTACCCCAGTAACAAGATATAAACATGGCAGCTGTGTATTGAAAATATAAATTGGTTTAATGGTCAACTGAAAGCAGGATTTTTGTTTTGTTTTGTTAAGGCTGACATTTTGAGATGCATCTATACTTGGCAGAAAAGATATCCACTCACACAGTCACAAAGTGTCCTTTACCTTCAGTTTGGTCTCTTTCTGGCTCCTGTGTGTTCTTCTCCACCTCTTCCACCAAAGAGAGCAGTGGTGTAGGGAAGGAGTTAGGAGCTTTCTGTTCAACAGTCCGGAGCAGATTGAGAAGTGCTTCCTCGCTGAGCTGCCCCTCCTTCACTCTGCTCATCAGGTTCTTCAGTGCTGAGCTAGGATCTGCCTCCTCACAGCACTGACACACAATCTGACAGGAGCAGACATATCCCTTTATTTTACAGAACTAAAAAACATATTACCTACATAAAACCTGTTGAAGCTATTATTAGATTTAAGGTCTTAAAGGGTAGCTTCAGTATTTTTCAACCTGGCCTCTATTTTCCCATGTTTTTGTGTCTGAGTGACTTAACAACAGTTTCTGAAATTGGTCCAGTAAATGGAGAGAGAGGGCTGCAACTGGCAGCAGTGAAACAGGCTGCAATATAACCACCTGGGCATACGCACAATGTTGATGTATGTCCACTAAGAGTGCATGTTTTTGCCTCTGACAGGCTCAGATTCTTATTATGTGTCTGACAACATTATGAAAAGGATCCCTACAGAAACAGCCCTTTATGTTAAACAGTAAGATCCTTCTTGTTTAGGAATAGCCCCGAAATCACTATTGACAAAGCCACCAGACTCCAATTAAATAAGCAGGAATTTTATCACACTTAACTCAAAGTTAACAGATACAAAATAAAAATCACAGACGCCATCTTGGTTTGTCTTTCTACTGTTCCAACAATCATCAACTCTGGTTTGGTTAAAACAGATCCTTCATTCAGTTATATGATGATAAAATTACTGTTTAGCTTTTGTAGCCTTTGCACCAGACCGCCGCAGGGAAGAGGGAGCTGAGCCGGAGGCAAAATTCTTAATTTATCAGTCCATTTAAGTTCCGACCTTCACCTATAGTCATGGGCCAGTTAAGGTGGTTTTGGCATCTGATCAGGATGCCTCCTGGGTGCCTCCTGTTAGAGGTGTTCCAGGCACATCAAACTGGTGCAAGCCCCCAGGGTAGACCCAGAACAAGTTGGAGGGATTATATATCTCATCTGGCCTACGAACGCCTCAAGATCCCCCAGGAGGAGCTGGAAAGTGCTGCTGGGGAGAGGGACGTCTGGGGTTCTTTGCTCAGCCTGCTGCCCCCGTGACCCAGACCCGGATGGGAGAATGAAAATGGACGGGTTTTTTTTGTTTTGTTTTTTAATTTATCTGCATTCATATCGCGATATCTGTCTATAGCGATAAGCCGAAATAGCAGCACACGGAAGAGGAGGTCTCGGCCCAGATGTACACTCCAAGAAGCTTATTGTTGTCAGACTGATAGCTGATGGGTTCTAAGATTGGGTCCAGGTTAAAAAATACCAAAGTTATTTGTGTATTTACATACATTAGTTAGATATATACCCTGTGATTTGGTGACTAACAGTGAACATCATCAACTACTTTTGTTTACAAGAAGACCCCACAGGGTACCTTTAACTCTGTTCTACCTGTCTCTCCTGTTCATCCAGGTGTTTCTGTGCTGCCTGGCTCAACAGCTCCAGGACAGATGACATGTTGGCGAGGAGCTCCACAAGCTGAGAGGAATGTTCCAGAAGACCAGCCGCTGACACAGGCCCATTCGATACCTCGGCTGCCGTTGTATTGTTCTCTTCCACTACCCTCTCTGAGGATTGGGACTCTTCAGGCTCTGTGTATACACAGGTGTGAAAACATGGAGTACAGTCAGAGATTGTAAAACAACGTTGTGTTGTATATTGTAGGGTTGTTGGACTGGATTGTATTAGGTTGAACAACGGTAGCCAAAACGGACAAGCTGCTGAAACTGACCTGAGGACTGAGAGAGCTCCACACAGGTTCTTTTACATGCTGGTTCCTCTGCGTCTTTACACCCATTTTGACTGTCTTCCTTCTCCAGCTCAGGCTTAAGCTCCATTTTGTCTGAAGTCAAGTTGTCCCTGTTTGGTGAAACTGAACCTTCAGGGTTTGTACTCTGTGCTTTGTTGATCACTGTGAGACTCGGAGTCTGTGTAGAAAGGACTGGGACTGCAGGTTGCTGGTTCACAAGGCTGGTGAGGACGTTTTTGAATCCGACAGCCACGTCGAACATCTGCAGGCTGTCTGCAGCGGCGACAATGCGGCTGACATTGTGTTTGCCGAGAGGCAGCTTGCCAGTGTAGACCATGTCCAGCAGACAGCCAAACTCCTGCGAGGAAACCATGGTCGTGTCGATGGAGATGGTGTCGGAGCCATCCAGGAGAGACCTGACAGAGATGAAGATCAATTTATTCTTGTCAAGTTCCCATTTAACAGAAGTCACAGGTCACAAACTATTCCAGCTATCCCATTACAAGTCATCTTTCCTTATATTACCCATTGGTCTTTACAGTGCTATGAAATAACTTCTTATCATATTTGCTGAAACTGTTACAACATACTCACAGTATTATATGAGACAAAGAGAGAAAAAAAAATCATGTTCCTTCATCTCCTATGGCTAGAATCTACCGTGGCTGAAGGGAAAACAACCAATCAGAGCCGAGGAGTCTCTGTCAATCACTGTTCTTGGACTATGATAAAACTGTCAAACTAGGCAGTGCTGATCAAATATGAATCAAGATTCTGTTACTGCGTTGACTGTTCTTTACCTCAGATGTTTTCAGAAACATATTTTAGTGTACCGTTTAACTGTAAATGAGAAAGTTTCTGACCCAGCTGCCATGTTGGATACAGTCAGACGGAATGCCAAGCATCGCCCACCAGCCAGACCAGCTTCCTCATTTTACACTGAAACAATCACTAAAATATCTTTCTGAAAACAGCTGAGGCATGAAGATATGAAACCTGACAACCTGCCCACAAGTATTTGTGAACTGTTTTGACAAAACAATCTTAAAGTCCAATTACAAGCATTTTTCATGCATAAAGAATGTGAGATGAAATTGAAAGCTCTAGAAACAATGACTGATTGAAGCTTGAGTTAAGATTTGAAATATTCTTTTATAAGATAAGATATACTTTACTGATCCCCCAGGGGGGAAATTCAAGTATCACAGCAGCACAAGACAAAATCAAAGGACATTAACTAGAATGAGATTAAAGAGAAGACATTAAATGTAAAGATAGTGATAGATAAATAAAAGATAAAATAAAACTGCTACATCAATAAAATTGCTACAACAGATGAATAAAGTGACTAAAATGGCAGACAAAGTGTTGAATGAAATAAAGTGGCAGATGGCAGATAAAGTGTCATATCAGACTACTGTTAAACGCATGATCAAGAAAGATCCTTCATGCTCGACGAGTTGCCAGTAATAGTTTGAGACTGTTCCTGGGAGTTAATTCGAAATGACTTGCTGAATATGAATTCCAAATCCACCAAATAAATCACCTGCAGATCATCTTCCAATCCCATGCACACACTACCTGAAGAGCATGCTGGAGGCGGCCAGTACCAGTTTATGTGCGCGGTGAGGGCTGTCTCCCACCAGGATGGTGCAGTCACAGAAGTGTCCTTCTTTCCTCAGCGCCCACAGCTGCTGCATCAGCTGGCTGCTGTAGTTGGGTAGCTCCATCATTTTGTCTGATGGTCTGGAGGGGCAGAATGTTCTGCTCTCCTGTTTGAGGAGAGAACTGCATGTCAAATTCAGAAAAATGACAGTCTTTTTTTTCTCCTCTCAGCAAACAACAAAAAGCTCCTACTGCACTTATCTGCATGCTACCAGCTTCCATATAACGTTACTGTAGTTACAGCAGGGGGAGGGGGAGGGGGTCAGGGGTCTCACTTCAAACTGTGCTTATGTAACGTTACTGTGCAGGTTTTATGCACTGAATGTATGCCGGATTAGTACATGGATCACAATTATTCATAAGACAGCTCAAGTAGCTAATGTTCTTTGAGTGTGTCTGCATCAATGAGAAACACCTCATTTATTTCCCATATGAATGGAATTTAGCCAATAAAAAAAATGGTATTTCAGATAATATTTTGGGAGACATTTTGCCTTTGCCACATTACAAAGCAACTGGTCCACATTTTACAAGCAGACGGCTGTGTCCTGAGGTTTATGATAACTGAGGTTCCCCGGGTCTGTAGTCAATATTTACAAATATTGGTAGCCAGCAGTGCAGGCTATCCGTCACTAGCTTTAGCACGGGATGCTAATGTAATTTAGGAAAGGTTACGAATGTTCAGTCAGTGAAACTTATTGGGATACATTTGCAGTTACATTGTTAAAAAAAAAAGCCCTGACGACCATCCAGCATGCAGCTCCCAGTCAATGGATGTCTTTACCTTGAATAATTCAAACGATCCGTTTCTTTATTTAAACTCCTCTGCTGAACAACTCTGCTCCGCGCAATAAAGATTAGCCGTTTTGAAAATGGCGACAGGTGGTACGGCAACGAAATGGGTACGTTTCCGGTTAGGCGAAAAAAAAAAAACTAAAAGGGGGAAGCATGACAAATAATTTTTTTAAGCACTGGAGGGACTCGTGTTGTAAACTTGTTTGGGAACAATCCGCACATGTGCTTGTGCTCGAAAAAACAAAGTCCCAACTTTCCAGTACAATAACATTGTTTTAGGATTATTTATTTTTTTTATTTATTTTTTTTGCAGGAGATAAAGATTGAATACTTTGATAAACTTAGCTACTATATTTACAGGCACAATTTTACTTACATAAATGCAGATTGTTAAGATCTCTTAAAAACAACTGTGGTGTCCCTTTAATTGAGACATATCAGCAATAAAAAACATAATAATAAGGCTTAAGTCCCTCAAATTGTATTTTGAAAAAAACCCTCTTTTAAGACACTTTATTCTTTTTATTTATTTTATCACTTAATTATTGTGATTACTTCCTAATTTATTTTTTCAGTTCCTGAGGCAGTCTTGCTCTCAGTTATGTTGCAATCAACAAACGTTATGCTCAACAAATGCCTGTTTAAACATGAAAAATAATAAAACTGAAGAAAAAAAAACACTTTAGCCACGAAAAAATAAGTAGCTTAGTATAATACAGTTTGAGAAAAAAAGAATCAAAATTAAATACTGAACATCCCATTCACTTATATTTTTAAAGTCTATCCTTTTTTAAACAACACCACCATTATAGAAAGGATCCCTACAGAGGTTGACCTCATTGTTAAAGATTCTTTTTTTATTTATTTATGTTTAACCAGACAGCCTAGAAATTGCTATCACTAAAACCACCAGACTGCTTTCAAATAAACCGTGATTTTATCATTTTAAACACACTTCAAAGTCGACAGAAACAAAATAATTCTTACACAACCCACCTTGGTTCATCTCTCCATCATTCCAACAATCACCAGCTCTGGTTTGGTTAAAATTTAACCTTAATTCACTCAGTTAGATGTGCAAGTATGCTGGCTCTATACTCTATACAAGCTAAACTATTGGCTATTTAAATGGAGTCTTTGCAATGGCAATTTCAGGGCTCTTTCAAAAAGGAAATTACTCTTAAATTAAAAAGTCAATCTCTGCAGAGAGTCTTTCCATAATTTTGTAAGACACTTACAATAATCTAAGCCTGTCAGTGGCAAAAACAAGCACTTTTAGCAGATCTACATTGACAGTGCTCAATTGCTGGTAGGTGGTTTTACCACTCCTGGCCGAAGCTGTCTCTTTAATACTTGAACAAATTCAACAAGAATTACCATCCTGGGGTGCTGGTGGCTTAGTGGTAAAGCAGGCGCCCCATGTACAAGGCTGTTGCTGCAGCGGCCTGGGTTCGACCCTTTGCTGCATGTCACTCCCTCTCTCTTTCATGCTTGTCTGTCTTATCCATTAAAGGCTAAAAAGCCCCAAAAAATATCTTAAAAAAAAAAAAAAGAATTACCATCCTGCAGTTCATCAAGTCAAGTTTCTCTTACAGTTTACATCCATGTCTGTGAAAACATGAATATGTCACAGAAATTGTTTTATGATGTCACAGTGAAACTGACCTTTGGGATATAAAATCTCATGACTATAATTTTATCCTTTCAGACATTTGTGTGAAGTTTTGTCATAATTAGCATATAAATTCTTGAGTTATGGCCAAAAACATATTTTGAGAGGTCACACTGATCTTTACCTTCAAACCTTCAACCACAAAATTCTGATCAGTTTATTCTTCAGTCCAAGTGGACGTTTGTGCCAAATTGGAAGAAATTCCCTCAAGCTGCTTTCATTCTGAAAAAAATCTCTTAGGTGTTCTTGAGATGTCAGGTTCACAAGAATAGGACATACATATGGATGGATACCTCAAAAACATAATGCTCCCAGTCATGGCAGTCGCCAGTGTTGAGGCATTAAAACTGTTGTCTCCAATTATAAATTAAACACACACAGATAAAGGGTGAACAGGGTCCAGGCTGGAAAATACCAGTTACCTTTCCAGTTTCAACAATGGAAGAAACAATCTGACGACACTACTTAAGTACTTTATCATTTTCAATAGGTGTGGATGTTGTAGAAGGTATTGGCCATCACAGGACTGAAATAATCCTAATGCCCAAGTAACACTACATTCTATTTTGCAATTTTTCATGGAATAATCACAAGTATGAGGACAGGGTGCTTTGAAAATAACTTTATTGTCCATAAGAAATAACAGTGAAAAGAACAGGACATATCACTGCTTGCATTCTGTTTCTCACTTCGAGCTCTCGAGGGTTTGCACTGCTGAAACTTCTGCAGGAATCGGCCTCTATACATACCGTGTAGCTATGTATCTCTAAATGCCACATGGAGTATATGGATATAGATTTGCTGTAGAGGTAATAAATGTTCTAACATTTAAGAGCAGTTATATTTGTAATACTTAACAGTTACTCGTGCATTCTTTTGACAAACCTGAAAACTCTGCAGTGAGGACACAAGCTTCCACATAATGGAAAGAAAGAACATTGTCTTAATTTTTTCTTCTGCCATAAGTTAAACAGTCATAAACAAAGCCCATTTTCTTGAGTAACAGTAGAACGCTCCATTGAGCTTCCTCAACCAGATTCTATTTGTCAGGTAGAAGCACACAGTCCTTCAGAATGATTAGGAATTTAAATATCAAAGGCCAGCTAACCTTATGTAGAGAAAAACAGCGGCTTTGCAACATGGTCACAGTTTATTAAAGAAAGGCTACTCAAAACGTAAAAAAACAAATTAAAGCACTTATTTATATATGGACACTTGACAAATTCAAGCTTTTTTTTCCTCCTTTAAAAATGTCCAACTGTCATCCGTCCAATTCAAGCATAGCTACAGCACAGCTTTCCTCAGTGCCCGAGAAGCCCAGTGCCTGCAGAGAGGGAAAGAAATTATTAGTAAGAAATTGAAGCAGAACCAAAACTCACTGTCAAGAATTTTAAAAAAATTAAAATCTAATTGAAAAGAGTTGGCCACTCAATACAGTATAAAATTGACAAAATTCTGATTTAATTTACTAAATAATCTGATAATGAATTATCTTGAGCTGGTCACACTTACTGGTCTCCATTGAACCTAACTGGTCCTAACTGTTAAGTCGGCCTCTGTTAAGATCAGTCTTAAGAATGGACTTAACGTTGGTCGCACCAAGCAAACTTAAGCCGATGCCTGGTTTTAATAATGCCCATTTATGTGAATACGCAGCGACTATGACTATAGCACATGTGTTACTAGAATACATTGTTTACATTCTCCCGTTGTCCTGGTAATGTGTAGCTAATCATTTATGATTTGCAACAATATTATTACTGAAAATCAGTGAAAAAGAAAAGGAAATTTTACAGATATTGAGATAGTAAGATTAAATGAGCTGTAGATGAGATGCTGTCTGTGTTTGACTGACAGCAGCTGCCAGTTGCAGCTCTACAGGTAATGTGAAAGGACAGAAAAAGTAAACAAACTCGGTCATATCTTACAATTCACCTGGCCGACAGTGTGTTGTTAGCAGTGGTTCTGAACAGCACCTTAAGCAGCAGGATAAACTAACATTTGCAGGTAAGTTTATGCTGCTGCAGCTAGCCAGCTAATTAGGTAGCTATCTAGCTTGATGACTGACACTAGTGGTGCACTTTTCACCGGTGAATGTTTGTTTGAAGGACGTGTGGTCATGTTTGTAAGTTGGCTAAATAAAAGAGAATTAAATAGGTAAGCTAATGTGGGTTATGTTCAAAGTTTGGGGCTCTTATGTTCTGCATCAGGCTGCTGACATATAGAAAAGCCTGAGATTTTGACTTTACATCTGCTCCTGAATAGGCACACAATTTAAGCATTGATGGTGCGACCAGCGTAACTACGAGACTGGACTTAAGCCCAGTTCAGACCAAAAATTCTCGACGAGATGAGTTGAAACAGGTAACTACTTGCAATGCTCCATTCTGCAATGTTCTAAAAACCTGCTGGTTCACACCAATGCAACTAGATGAGACAGTGTATCATCTCTATGCAACAACTCTCTGTACTTCTGTTCTGACCTCCAGTTTTTCAGGCTTATTTTGTGGCTGAATATAATTTGTAGCTTCTTAAAATATGAATGAGGATAGTGATAGTGAGATACTGACTACAGTTGCATTTGTAGTTGTGATGAAATGGCAAAAACATAAACAAAACGAACATCAAATAGACTGCATTCATAATAAATATGCCACAATAATATAATAATATAAATAACCAGCGCAAGCACATACAGCGATCAGCAGAAGTGGCCCAATATCTGGTACCAGCACATTGTGAGGACGGAAATAGAGAGCTTGGCGGGGACGGAGTACCCACCACAGCAAGCAAACATGCCGTCTGCGGTCATTTTGACTTAACCAGTGGACTTCACTACAAGCTGATTGGCTGTAGAAACAGGTGACATGTTTTATGTTCTACAACCAGCTGCTGGCGATTTGACCAGCTGAATTGCAACCAGCTTGAGTTGAGCTCAGACCGGCCAGTTCACACCGCTACAACTTTTTTGTCTCGTTGCGAATCTTTGGTCTGAACTGGGCTTTAGTACGCCAACTTATGATCGACGTAAGACCAGGTGTGAAACCTGTTAGTGCAACCTAAGCAAGCACTTGGTCAACTTTCAGGGGGTGTGTTATCAAAACTCATCTGTACAGACAGTCTTCAAAAATATTTGGCTTACTGGAGCTCTAAAAATAAGGTCATATGGATCTCTAAGGTTGTTAGATCAAAGCCCACATCTGAGATGCTTTTTCAGTAATCCAAATAGAATAATAATGATAATTCAGTGTGATTAACAGGGTCACCCCACTCAGCTTTAATGCATCAGTGTTGATAACAGAGATGTTGTCTTCCTACTGCATGAAAGAAAGAAAACAAACATTTAAAAGCATATGAAGAAAAAAGCATGCTCACCTTTAAATCCCTCTTCAGGCATTCT